AAATTCATTGGAGTGTTTGGGCTATCCAAAAGACACTTATTTTGAAGAAAATTGCTATTACTAGAGAATTTCTATTATTCTCTTATTCATAATTATAACCTTTATTCCTAGGATTTGTATTGTTAAAGATGTTTTGCTACATTTTATACTAATTATCCATCTATACTATTATATTAACACTTGTTTATACTATTATATTGATGCTCACTTTTACTATTGTATCTGCACTCGTTCACACTATTGTTGTATACACATTTGTCTACTTGCTGTTGCAATATTCATTCACACTTATTACTAAAATATTTTATCCTTAATTAACATTTGATATACAATCTTATCAACATTTGTCTACACAGTATCATCTAATTATACACACAACAGTTATCAATGCTTGCTTATAATAATTATCAATTCCCAATCAATTAATGCTATCAACATTCGTTCATATAATACTCAATGTTTATCCACACACTTCAGTGTACTATTAATATTATCAACTACTTGTCCACATGAATATTGATACTTTCTTTTGTTTATCTGCACAATTATCAATATCTTCTATTGTTCTTTCACACAATCAACACCAAAATAAAATACTAGGAAGAGCTTTTATATATCCAAGCCAATTTAGTTCAGCACTATAAGTATAAATCCTGATAGTAAGTTGTATAGCCCAGATCCATATGTAGTTATAATTATCAAATAAGGTAAGTATTGCTGCTTCAATAGGACTATATTCATAAGAAGTCATCACAGATTATGTTCAGGTTGTTTAGGGTTCAAGTTGTGTTATTATAGGCTGCAGTTAGATTACTTAGGGTCCAAGTTAGGTCATTATAGGTTATGGTTAGGTTCAGGTTGGTTACTATGTGTCTCTTATTAAGCAAGGATGGAGCCAGCAAGTTACTTATTATCATATTATAGGTACTAACAGCTATATTTATTATTGGAGCCAAGCAGGGAAAAGTTAGATCTTGTATTCACTGTATTTATTACTTTAGCAGAGTAATAAAGAGTTACTTTATTTATTAAGCAAGCATCCTATTTATATATTTTGATATGCAAGGGTTTCAAACCCAGATCTGAGGTTTCAAACCCAGATCTGGGGTTTCGAATCTAGATCTGAGGTTCCAAACCCAGATCCCGGGTTTCAAACCCTAATCCCAGGTTCCAAACCCATACATGTGCTAATATTATCTAGTACCCTAGCCATGGTGAAAAAAAATTAGCAGATCATGTGCTGTAGATTATATTTGGCAGATTTCTATTGGACGCTGTTCTGATGATTTTAATTGACCAATAAAAAAAAAGATAAAATAATCGATGATCTTTTTTTCTTTATTAATGTTATAATATATATTTTATAATACATATTAATATAGTAATTTCGATACATTTTTTTCGTATATACATACAATTCTATACATAACCATTACTTAATTAATACAACTTATTACTAGTTAACACAACCAAAATGCAAGCTTCCCATTTGACGTCCAAGTACCTTGTTGGTTGCAAGCTCGTAAAACTTCTTTACATTTACTTATTTTACTTACAAACAGCACAACCAAAGTATTGAAATTATTTATAAAATTGTCATTATCTATTTCCCGATTATACAAGGTTAATACAACATCAAATTTTTGTTTGTAATACTCATATTTTTTTTTTCTTTTTTTCATTATATTAAAATTCATATCCTCAACCAAATCCTGCAAGTTACTTAAATGACTTAAACGGGAACTAGAACTAGAACTAGAACTACCTTGCTTAGCATAATTGATAGGCATGTCAAGTCGCATCCAAGGGTTATTTATTAAAGCAATAGGTAGAATTTTGTCTTTACCAAAGGTGAGTAACAGATAATCATGTCATCTTGTTGTCTTTGAAAATATAGGTAGAAATTGATTTTCATTCATTTTATTAACAAAATGTTTATAGAGATGATAGCAGTTGCGCAAATAAGCTGGGCAAGAATATATCCACTTATTTGTATTGATTTAATAATTATCTTCAGCATCTGATGAAATATCTGCTACTGCTGCTCTATTCCATTCTTTTTTAAATTCACGTTACCATGATAGAAATGTTCGATTTCTATCATACAGAGTTAGTTTAATTTCAGAGTCAGGAATTAGCTGCTCTGTTATAATTTGGGTAAGATGATTTATATGTGGACGATTGTAATTATATTTGTATTTGTATTTGAGAACTCTCCAATGGCTTTCTGTGATCATTGTAGTATGTGCAAAAGATAAAGTGAGTGAATATGAAGATCAGGCAAATAACTTCTAATTTTTTTCATTATACCAATTCATCTATAAATAACTCCACAATCTAATTAGATTATTTGAATGACAAAATTGGTATGCCTCTTGAACTCATAGCCAGTAAATATTTTTTGAACTAACATAAGTTTCTTTGAGTATTGAAATAAGCAGATGCATATTTGCATGTTTTTTAACTATTTCCAGAAGCTGTTTAGCATATTGATCTGAACAAATAGATCCAATTCTGCCTTGAATCTATGAAAAATCGATGAATTCAAACTTGTGATGAGCCTCCAATGCTTTGGCTGCTGAATACGTGCTTGATCGATATTTTTTGTCTTTGATTTTTCGATCAATAGCATGTTCAAGATGCCAATAGCAAAGTTGAATATTGGGTATTAATGACCAAGCCTCTTTGACTGAAGCTATCTCGCCTGCATCCTTGTCTGTTAAAATAAATAGTGGCTGCAACCCCTCTTGCCAAAGACTAGTAAAAAATATTCGTAATACTCCAACCTATGTTTGTACAAGATTATCCTGACTTTTCAGGCTTCTTCACTACCGTCTAATGTGGAAAGATACAAATATGCTATTGGCATACCATATTCACCACAGTTAAGATTTACTGCAAAAAGTTCAAATCGTTCTTGATTAGTTTTAAATATGGAGTCTATAACAATTTCAGTTGCATTTTCAGTGCTAACATGTTTAAGTAAAGGGGTTAGAAATCCTAAAGCCCATACAAAATCATTTTCTAGGTAATTAAGAACTTTGAATTCTCTTTTCTTGAGTTCAGGTTGCTCAAGATACTGCTTTGCCGATGCAAGTAAATTATTTTGGTCCAGTATATAAGTTTTTTTACTATACTCTGATACCCAATAATACACTTGCTCAGCTGTATGAATCTCTGGATTTATAAGTTTATTTTTGCAAAGCCACTGATAAACTTCTGTGCTTCTTAAATTGTATAGCAATGTATTATTTTTAATTCATTTTTTTGCCTCGATAGGAAACTCTACTTGACGATACTTTGGCTTTTTGTGCATCACTTGATAGCTTCCCAGAATAATTGCATACTGCTCCTCCACGAACATAGTAATTCTAATATTTTCTGCACATTCATATCTTTCAATAAGAGCTCAGGCCTCACTTCATCTTTTAGGTGGCTGGTCATTTGGTCTTTTCCAAGCTCTATCATCCCGCATTATACAACCAAGATATGCCGTGGCTAAACTAGAAAATTTTTTATTTTTACTGTTTAAATATATTTTTTGAATTTCCCAATAATAACCTGATCCAGATTCAAGTAGTATAGTAAGTAGGGATGCAAGGTGTCTAAACCTCATTTCAATTGCTTTTAGATCAGTTATATTAGCTAAACTTTGTTAATCTAAGGAAAATTCAGAAAGAATATCTTGACTTAACTCAACTTCAAGGGCAAGATTTACAGGATCATCGAATATTTCAGCATCTTCAAATTTTTTGGTGATGATTTCATTCAATTCGTCCAGGTCATACATCATTAATTCTAAATTAGTATCACTTTGGACGTCATGCTCACTTTCATCATAAAGGCCGCTACTGGAATCATTTGGGATAATTGTGTTAGAATTATTAGAGATAATGCTACCAAAATCATCTATAGTGATATTAGAAACTTCAGGAGTAATAGTAGCAGAGTTGTCAAACATAGCACTACTAAAATTAT